ACAGATAGAAGTGATATGTGTGGACCACGAAAGTGTAGAATGTAAGTTTATGCCTAGGTGTTTGTAATTATCAGTGCGTTCTACAATGCTATTATCAATTATGTATTGGCTATTAAAGTTATGTTTGCGACTAAAGGTGATTAGTTTGCATTTAGAAACATTAAGTTTCTAAATGCAAACTAAAAGTTAATATGGAAACTGTCTATATTATTATTCATATCAATGTTGTAAATTCATATTAATGGCAAAATATGTCCGATTTTACATACCCAGCTCTTTACGAACGAAATTATAACAATAAAGAAAAAAAGACAAAATGTTTCAGGACAGTGCACAAAAAGGCAGGGTAAAAAATGTGCTTGTAAAGTACTGAAATTACCTCCAAGTTCCTGCATGATAGGTTTGACATGGTCAGGCCATTCTTGGGATAAAACATTGTAGACTGCAGGAAAATCTTTGAACCATAAACCTTGGCCAACTTTCCAGATGTTTCCCAGCTCTGTGTGAGACTTAAACAGAAAATAAAAGTCAACAGGAGAAAGCATTCACTACTTTTAGCGTGAAACACTATAAACAGTCTCTAAGGTAACAATACTATATTAAAAACCTTATAAAGGGCTAATCTATTTGAAAAATACCTCTTGATTAAGGCACTTATCTCTGAACCAAGCATCGGACATTCCCAGTTGGGAGGTAATTTCCGATTGGAGGGCTAAGAAAATTAGGCTTCTCAGTTTAGGACTGCCAATCTTCTACAATTAGGGCTTTGCATGGACAGTGTGTCATACAATCAGTGAAATTATTCTCAAAGAGAACTAATCTAGAAGACGGCCCTAGTTTACATTGGTAATGTTTGCTAATCCAATAATGGAAGCCAATCTTGAAGGTGATGCCATTACGCGCAGCAAGTGCCAGAAGTGGCTGCAAGAGCTGTAATACACCACAGATGTCATGCTTTGTTTTGGCAAGTGTGTCTTGGCAGTCAGGCTTGGGTAGTTTATGAGGTTTTCTCTGGTTGTGTAAGCGATCATACAAGTGAAAGAATTGCAGGCACAATTCAAAGGTGGCAGCCTTTCTGTGCCATTGAATGCCACAGTTTACAAAGAAAGACATCCAATGTGGTTTAAGACTGAAAGTTCAGGGCCACGAGTCTGCTCAAAACCAGGCAGCAATGGCAAAAATGACAGGTGGTGACAAAGTAACCACTTCCAATTGAAATGTTCACAGATACACTGAGAGCTCAGTCTTTTGTGTGTACAACCATAATGGCTCATTTACTATATGGTTGTATTGATTGACTTAGAACAGTGGGATCCCAACGTCATGGCCAGCTTAATGAATGTGACTAGCACCTAGCAAATGTTTTCGAAAATATGATGCATTGCCACACCTCAGCTCTTGGTTTGGGCATTTCAAAAGAGTGACCGCTCATTGCCAGCTTACTTTAACATTTTTCTTTAAGGTGCCCCGAAACAAAGCCTTCAGAAGTGGCTCAGACCTAATCTGCTTTATAACTTACCTATCAGTTAATCCAAAGTGGTAATGACAGGCCATAAAATAGCACTGTTGCGAAAGATGACAAATTGGCCCTTCCAATCACCTGCTTTGCTTTCTTAGAAATGTGAAAGTCGCCCTCTTTATCTGTTCCATGCTCTGAAAGAACTGTGCTTTTCATAGACAGCCATAGTGTGTGTAAATCTCAGTGACACACCTGTCAGGAGACTTATAACAGGTTTATGGTTATCATTATTCCCTTTTTGAGAGCACTAAATGAACAAAAACAATGCGGACGCTGCATCATTCTTTGCAGTCCTAGTTAGTTTAGTGCACTAAAAAGTGAACATGAATTAACAAAATGCCGAAGCGTATGTGCTTTCAAGGTGTATATTACATGTTTTTTTTTCTGATGTCTGAAGCCTTGTTGTACTAGACATTTATTTTGAGATTTTAAATACAACATCAAAGCATGTTAAATAGGAGATCTTTTTTTTTTGGCACCTTTCGTTTTAAAACTTTTTTGCTTTGACAGAGAAGCTTTAAATAATCGATGGTGATGACATTTGGTTTTTCATGGCACAAGGGCCAGGCTTAGTCAAAAAGCACTATAACAGATGATGGAAAGTTAACAATAATCAATAATTTATGATAGACAATGAATGTGAACTATGACTATGTTATGTGGCTATATACGGGCCTAAAATACTGTGCACTAAAGGTGCATAAAACATAAGTATAAAAAATCATGAAGGTGACATGAAATGTGCGAACGACAATGATTGGCAACACTCGTGGTAATTGATATATCTTGAAAATATGGCATTAGCACGATTACCTCATCAATGCCTTTCAACACAACGGCTGAGAGGCAGGTGCTTTCTTAAAGCAGCAGTGACAGAAGATTTCGAAGGCAAAATGATAAGCGAGATAGTTTTATGTGGAGATATAAATAACATCTACAAAATATCAAGAATAAAGATCGCCTAGAACGTATTCAAAATTAATTTTAAAGTGAATTTGAGCGAGACGCGCAGCTCTTTGCAACACTGACATCACCGTGGTGGCAATGTAAACAAAGCCACACCACGAGTTTCTACTGGCTGGCTGCTTGCGGTACCTGCGATTTATACCTCCATGCCTGTGACTCCTCGTGTGCTGAATGTACTGGCTGTCAGGGCGGCGTCCGCTCTCCAGCACAGTGCCCATGTCACAGTTTTGCATCTTCACGTGGCTAGCTGTGTCTACCTTTCCATCGAAACTGCTCCTGCCTAGCACGGTGCTTTTTGAAACTGAACAGCAACTGGGCACCCTAAAAATGTTCCTAAATAAGTAAATCATGCACTCATGCAAACGAGGTTTCCAGCCATGATAAGTGGGTAATAAGATACCTATTGCATCAAAAAACGGGGTGGGGCAAAATTTTTGTGTCAGTGCTCCTTTAACATAGCCACCGCAATCAGGAGTTTAGAGATTGTGCAATAGATCACTTTGTAATATGGAGTGAATACTATGCACACCTCTTAAAAACGTAAATAATGACTCATGTTTAAAATGTGCATCTACACAGATTAACATAAAAAAATGCAGTAAAAATCGCTTTTGACAGGATAATGAAAAGTGTCTTTTGATGATGACATATAATTCATCGCATTGAATGAAGATAAGAAGCACGGCAGGTGCTTCACATCTCTCACACCTGGATCATCACCAGACAAAACGTTATCATGCATGTGTCGTACTTGTAGTCTCGTAAATGTTTTTGTGTACAACAAGGGTGGCCAATTTTCAAGACTGCTTGATAACATCTAGTTTATTTTGTTTTTGCCTATCCTATAAGTACTGCCAATAACCCCTGAGCTTTCAATTTAAGAAGGGTGTCAGGTCAAGTGCAAGGACAGTTATGAATGTATTGGCAGCAGCTTTGTTGTGGGTGAGTGCAGCTAGTTGGTCTGCCGACATGCTTCTGCTGATCTCACAGTGCTCTGGCACTCAGCACACTAAAACATATTTGAGTAAGTCGTGCATAACAGTGAGTAAAGCAAGACAAGGGCAAGATTTTTGTGTTTTCTCAAAGTTTTCAAAGCTTTTAAGGTGCTCAGAGAATCGATAAAATAGTCCAGCCAGCCTTGGCAAAAAAAGAGTGTCACGTGGTTTGAGGCACAAAAAGCCAGGAGATCTTTCACTGTGCCAACTTGTTCGCTCGGTTAAAGCTATAGACAATATTCAACACAGTACTAACAGGTGCCCAAAAGATGCACTCTACAACTGTCATTGCGTTGTTCACACTCGATGTGTGCAATCACAATATGTCACTCACACTAGAAATCTGTAATGCTGTCACCTCTATGTTGATCTAATGGCAGAAAACATGAAAAAACAACAAAGAGCTAAAGGAATAATACAAAGACTTCAAATCTGTTACATATTGTAGCGATGCTGACGCCGACAGGTTAAAAAAAACAAGCGTCTTTATTAGGGCGAACTTGTGCCCACGATTCTAAAAACTATGGTCGTCAAGTTCGAGTAGCCGAGTGGCACAGATCTGACTAACTTCCTCTTCCTCGTTGTTGAACGTCCGAACGCGTGGCGCATGCCAGCCGAGCCGGGTCTTGCTGGTGCTGGTGACGATGATTGTGGCGGGCTACTTGAATGTGGCGAACCTGTCGCAGCATTGCCCCCCTCCTCAGACGCATCGTCCCGATGCTTAAGACAGTGAAAAGATACACGCGCACTCTCACTCGTTTTTCGACGATCTGTCATGATAGGGCTTCATGCGGACTACGTGGACCACTTCTGTGGGATTGCGGCGTCTTGAACTCACGTGTCCAGCGGACCTAACTTCATAAGTGACGTTGCTGATACGGTTGAGTACTTCATAAGGGCCGAAGTATCGGCAAAGAAGCTTTTCAGAGAGTCCGCGGCGGCGCACTGGTATCCATATCCACACTTTGTCACCGGGATGATAAAGTGTGTCACTGCGTCGCTTGTTGTAGCGACTAGAATCGACGTGCTGTTGGTGGCGTATTCGGTATCTTGCCATTTGCCGTGCTTCTTCGGCTCTTTGCAAGAAGTCATCTAAGTCAGGTGGATAGCTGCTTTCGTCCTGTAGTGGTAACATGGCATCCAGCGGGGTGGTCACTCTTCGGCCGAATACTAGTTCGAAAGGGGCAACGTGGGTTGTTTCTTGAACGGCTGTATTATATGCGAATGTTACGTAGGGTAATATTTCGTCCCACTGTTTATGTTCAACATCAACATACATTGATAGCATGTCGGTCAGAGTTCTGTTGAGGCGTTGGGTTAAGCCATTTGACTGAGGGTGATACGCCGTTGTTCTTCTGTGATCGGTATTTGTCATGCGCATCAGGCATTGCATTAGGTCTGCAGTAAATGCGGTGCCCCGATCCGTAATAACGACGATTGGCGCACCATGTCTGAGCACTCTGTTGTTCACAAAGAACTTGGCGACTTCGGCAGCTGTCGCACTGTATAGAGAGTCAGTTTCAGCATAACGGGTGAGATAGTCTGTGGCTACGACTATCCATTTCTTGCCTGCACGCGATGTCAGCAAAGGTCCTAGGAAGTCCATGCCGACTTGTTGGAATGGGGCATCTGGAGGGTCTATTGGCTGGAGAAGGCCGGCTGGTTTTACGGGTGGAGTTTTGTGCCGTTGACATTGACGACAAGTTTTCACGTAGCGCTGCACTGATGCGAGCAACTTAGGCCAATAGTATTTCAGGCGAATCCTGGCGAATGTTCGGCTCACACCCATGTGTCCAGATGTTGGCTCGTCGTGGCATGCGTGCAGAATTTCCTCTCGCATGGCTGTGGGCACGACTAGTAAAAACGTTTCACCATTAGGTTCGAAGTTCCTCCTGTAAAGGACACTTCCTCGAAGGCAGAACGCGGAGAGCCCTCTGGAGAATATGCGAGGGACTTGAACGTCGAGACCCTGCAGGTGTTGTATAAGTGCCAGCAAATCCGGGTCATCTCGTTGTAGTTGAGCGATTTT